TATATATATATATATTATATATAATATATATATATATATATATCTGTATACATATTACTATATGCAAAATTTAAAAGTAACGTTTGAGTGGACACATTTTACCTTTGCTTATCATCATGTCTGAAGCCGCCAAACCAGATGCCAGTCTAAACGACTTCTTCGCCCGGTATGTAGTCGATGTATTAGCAGTAGCACGTGCATACATAGTTTTTCAGTTGTATTTTTCTTATATCCCAACTGTTATAAATATACCATTAGAAGTACCAGTTTGTATTTAGTTCGATACCAGTGAACTATTAGTTCAGTATATCTTCCTGGTGGTGTTACTCCTATGCTCTCTCAACAAGCTCGCCTATATAAATCTCTTCTGTGTTCTGTTTATCTATATTAGAGTAGACGCTACATACATGCACTCAACTTATGCCGTCTGTGTTCTATTTCCATACCAAATAGCAAGGACGCTAAGAAGAAGAAAAAGACTGGCTCCGTTGCCCCCAAACCGGTGCCCAAAGCAGCCCCCCCTCTACAAACTCAGCAACAGAGTGCTTCGAGTACTCCTTCTGCTCCTTCGCCATCACCCGCTAAGGTAGCCACGGTAGTGGGAACCATGAAGGAAACAAAGGTAGGCATACCGGATTGCTATATGACTTAGTTTATTTGCACTGGATCGCTCCAGATGTGCATGTATAGTTTGCTTATACTTGTGCATTTGTGTGACTGTTTAAATGTTTCCGGACGCTTGTTTGACGGCCAGGTGATGTGCACATGGACAGGCCACTCCGATGAAAGAATCGGCCGAACTTGCATGTGATATATCTTGCCAATGTGTACATACGTGTGAATACAAACACACCTCCCGATTATGTTGGTACACAGTTTGCTTCATCGTTTGCATAAATCGAGATTCGGCTCGTGAGAAGCGAGATTATTACTACCGATATCATTATTTTGTACGCTCCACGTGGTTGTGGATAGTTTAAATTTTGTTATTGCATATATATATATATATACGTCTTTATTTATGGATCGAACAATGCATACAGGTGCGAGTATATCGTAATTTATACATTCAAGTTGTATACATAAATGATGCAAGCTCGCGTATGTGTCCCTGTGTGTCAGCGTAGTTTTCTTGTATGTAAATATTGTATTGACGTATGGCTCTGCTTATGCTCTCTGGTATGCATGTATTATAGTTGCTTGTATTTATTATAGTTATTATATATGTGTGTGCCTGTGGGGACTTATAAATATGCATGTGCAAATGTGTTCATATGTACTTCACTTTCGTTTATATGTCATATTTTACCACGTGCCATGTTGATTTATTTTATATATCATCATATTCACCACGTGTTATGTTGATTTATTTTATACGTGTATTCACCAAGTGTCCATATATATTATGTATATTTTTTTGTTGTTTTTGTTTTCCCATTGCGTTTGTATCTCTGTATATACGGATGTGTATTTATCTATATACCTATACAATCGTAGTGTATTAATTCGTCAGACATGCACATTGATAGGTACGTACATGTTTAGATTCATTTTTGGCCCACTTTCAAGTGGGAGCTTCGTACGTGCATTCTTGTATGGATGGATGTCATTGTTGCACAGAGGTGTGTGTATTTATCCATACGTAAACATATATGTATTTACATCCACATATCTGCGTATATATAGTCGTTAATGTAGTTATGGAATTCTGTTTTGTGGTATAGATTTTTATCCTTGAATCTGTTTCTCGTATGTATATATATGTTGTATATGTTCGCATTTCTGCTTACATGGTATATTATATGTAGATATTTACGTATGTTTTCAAACGGACAAAGTTCACGGTATGACCTGCAACTACACTGGGAGGATCGGAACTCCGTATACATTTACGCTGGATTCGGAGAGTTTAATCATGTTACAGATACGTTCTTGATCCTTTGTACAAATTCATATATCCTATTGTGTATAGTTGGGGTAATATTTTTCTATTGTGTGAACTTATGGTTATATTTGTGTGTTTTGTTATAGAAATATAACACTATAGTTTATTTTTATTGTTATACATACCTTTTTGTGTGAACTTATGGTAATATATCCCTATTGTGTGAACTTATGGTAATATATTCCTATTGTGTGAACTTATGGTAATATATTCCTGTTGTGTGTAGTTATGGTTATATATCCCTGTTGTGTGTGGTTATGATATCATATTCTTTCTATGTGTAGCTATGGTATTATATCCCTGTTGTGTGTATTTATTGTATTACTTAATCAACTGTGAAGTACAATGATACCACTAACGGCTTCTCGTATACACACAAATCTATCACCCGCGTCGCAGGATGAAGACTGGATCGTAGAAGAAGAGACGGTGGCAGACTACAGTGGACTGCGTGTCGCAGATCTATCACTGTAAGTTTAGTTACTATTTGGTTATATTGATGAGATTTATTCTGTTCCCGTGTATCTACTATTTGCGAAGATTCTGTTTACTATTCAACTCACGAGTATCAGAAGCGCTCTACACATCATGCGTATATGTGTGTATATATATATACATATATATTAATATCGGATGGGTACACCCGCCATCTGAAGGTGTCATGTCTTGACTCGCATTGCGCATGAACTAGTCAATTGTTCGTATGATTTGTCTGCCAGTGCACGTTTAGTGCAAGTGTGGTGAGATATGATCACACTTAAACTGTGTTTCTGCCGTGTGCACTCAGAGTTATCTAAAGTACCACCACAGCATAGAGTACACGTTTACACATTTTTAAATCATGTGTCAGATCCAATACAAAAGAGTATCTTTGGGGCATATCCCAGGCGACACGATTGGTTTCGGCTGCTGCTGCGTGCTGTTGTTTCTTATCTATGCTGGTTGTACCATAGCAGTAGAGTTGGCATATATATATCTGTGTGTGTGTGTGTTTCCCTGACTTGACAGAATGAGTTCCCAAGCCATTCATATAGCTGGAAGCAGCTGTTAAAATTAGACCCGCCCGTCCACGCACAGGTCTGACAAGCCAGAGGATGGCAATGATGAGGAGGGTGGCACTGCACAAGACACCGAGGCAAAAGAATCGAAGGGCAAGAAATGGAGCAAGAACAAAGCGTCTGTCACCAACCAGGCCTTCAGCAATAGAGCCTTCCCTACGCTCGCCGACACCACGCAGGACCGAAACGAACCGTAAGTGCTTAAAAGCCGTCATCTCAACCCCAAGTTTTGTTGTTATTGCGTCCAAATTTTTGCTTTAAAGTGTTATGGTTGGGTTTAACTTTCAATTGCTTGTGATTTTGGTTACGTGATTTCTTTTGAGTGGCCCTTGCAGAACTTTTATTACGGAGATTCGTTCGTGTGCATCTCTTGTCATCGACTGTACTAAGTGCAAGTTTTGATTGTCTCACGTGCCCGTGTTTCTTATATATATATATATATAATTGTTTTTAACTGAATGTCTGGTTTATCTTGGCGTTTGATTTGCGCTCCGATAGTGCTACGAGCACCAGCCACGTTTTGTTCAAGTATTGCCAATTAATACGAAACAATAGTGGTGGTCCGCATGAATCCAGCTCAAGAACTCTTGCTATCGCTTGAATTCTGAGTTCATTTTCCACAATAGCTGTAGTTTGTTGAATATGTTGAGCCCTTTTCTACTTCCAGAGTGATGGCTGGTATGAAGAATATGAAGGTGGTGCGCAATGGCTACAAGGGAGACGGCCCAACGCAACAGAAGAACATATCGCTTAGTAACAAGTACGACGCTCTACGCTAGGCGACCCCTTTGCATCTAGAACAAGTATCGTACAGGGCTGTGTGTGCGTGGCCGTATGCAGTCCGTGTGCAGGCACATGCAGCGAATACCAAGATACATTCCTGACTCTGCGTGTGACGGGAGTGTATCATGTTAGAACACAACTAGACTTGAGAGACCTAGGTTCCGGATATTGATTGCCCAACACATGGGTTTTCATCAGGTTTGCGCAATTCATAGCAGTACTGTCTTGAGGCATGGTATGTCGAACGCAAAGTCGGTAGAATTCTTGCCGTAGATGTATGCTTCGAACCTTTGACGTTTTGATTGCTTGTACGAGAAATGTCTGAGATCCGCTTAGATATGAGCAGAGGTGCCCAAACGCACGCTTCCCGGCCTCTCCATCTCCCGCGAAAGGTGCTTGATTGTGGCCACGGGACGTCACATCCACTTGTATCGGGGTTACCAGGCATGCCTTTTAGGATTGGTCGCGAGTTGTTGTCGCACGGAGCATCAGACTGAGCCATGAGCAGCTGGTTTGTGAATTGTTAATTCGCCTTCCTACATGCATAGAATAAATTTTGCTCCTGTATTTGGAATCGATCCTTCTCCCGCACGCGTGTTTAGCTTCCCTTTTACTTTCACAGGTGTAGTATACATGCATTCGCGCACAAGAACTACCCCAGCTTGAAACCCATTTGCAATTGTATCAAAACGGTACGACAATAGATGCATATCGTGACGGTTATTCTGAGCATGTACCGTGAATGTACCACTCAGTTTACTCGCATAATCACTGAAGTATTTTGTGATGAGTCAGTGCTTGACACATATAGTGACAACACCCATCCTCACAATCCATTGCGCGATTATATGGAGCGTAGGTTTGCTTCAATATCTATTGGTACGTAGAAAGCCCAAAAGAGAATACCGATGAACCCGCTGTTTATCACTCAACATGCTACTACTGATTATCAGGTACCAAACCGCTAATTGACCTATTGTAGACTAATCACACACACGAAGCACAAAATTGTGAGTACTATAGAGTGCTGTCAATGATATGTGTAGATGCACCGATGGTAGCATGCACAGGAGATAGTTATTTCTATTATCGCTACAGGAGTTGTCAATTGATGAGATAGAGAGGCTGGCTGGGATATGGATAGTCAAGGTATAATATTGGCTGTTGGTCAAATGCTCCTCGATCTTAGTCGGAATATATGGCACGAAGTCTATGTAGGATCTTGAGGACTAAATAATTATAACGAGCTGAGCGGTGCAGCGCACCTACTTCAAATCACAAACGTAACTATAGGAGCGCGTCTCGTTTAAAATAAAGATTATTAGTGCCCGTGCAATCTATGAAAGAGGGTTCCTGGTCTTCTATTCGCAGAAAGAGATTAATGACATGGATGAGTAGTGGATGAGTAGATGAGAATAAATAAACTCTCTCCTTATGGTAAATGCCGGTTTAGGGTATCACCATCATCGTCGAGTGTGATTAACTAGGAATGAGCGTTGAAATGACCGTTATGAGGAGCTCTCTGGAAAGTAGGCAGGTGTCAACTCGGCAGACCTGTGCTTGGGAAAATACAAGAGTTTGGTTTTGTTCGTATTCGGTCTATACGAAAAGTGATGTTCGCTGCGTTCTCACACTCTTGTCGTATGTGAGCTCGAGAGATTCGCATGTTGTTGTTGTTGTTGTTGTTGTTGTTGTTGTTGTTGTTGTTGTTGTTGTTGTTGTTGTTGTTGTTGTTGTTGTTGTTGTTGTGTTGTTGTTGTTGTTGTTGTTG